CACCCCAATTCATTTTATTTATACTTTTTGGACCTGAGGCTGTGTTGATGACCTTGGTTCTCAGGCCTGGAGGAATTGTTCTGTCTGCCCAAAATGTGAAGAGAGCTAACTAACACTCTTTACCCAGTTCAGAGTTATACACTATATACATTAACTCTGTGCATTGCAGGATCTGAAAGATGTAAATGCTAAAACTTAAGACATCAGAGGAACATTCTAAAGGCCGTGCACAAGGACACCCTGGGCAGGGATGGAGCGTGGAACTGCTGGCAGCAGCGAGCTGCCTGCCAGGGAATCACTTGAACATTCCCTTTTCAGAGGCACGGCCACTCCAGTTTCCAGGAACTGTGCATATGTTGCATCCCAGCGCTCCTCACCCCATCCGCTGATGCTCCGTGGGTCGTAAAAATTAAATGGGCATAAATCCATCAGCACCAGGGCTCCTCCTTGAGTGCTATAAATCCCAGGAAAGCTAATTAAAGAGGACAATGGTGCCCATTTCAAGCTGGCACAGGGATGCAGAGCATCCCTGTGCCAGCTTGAAATGGGCACCATTGTCCTTGGGAAAACAGGGCTCCAAATGGATTTGTGAGGCCGAGGGGCTGGCGTTGAGCACGGCTCCTGCCTGGCACCTGAGGAGATTGTGTTAAAGCTCCCAAGATTGATTTCTCCTCTGCTTTGCCTTGGAAATCAAATCATCCCATGAAGGCTTGTGCCGGAGTTTGTTCTTGGAATGTTATCTGGCAGCTCAGGGAGCTTCTGGTGGCGTTGGTTTGTTGAGGCTTCGCTGCTCTTCCCTGAAAGCCTCCGAATTTGGGGAGTTCCCAGGGGTTGCTGTTGGGATCAGGGTTAAGGCTTGCCCCTCTGCAGGGTTTGTTGCTCTCCTGTAGTTTGGGTTGGGTTTATGCTTTGGGGAAGGGCAGGGAAACTGAGGCAGGAGTGAGGTGGAACCATCTGTGGAGGTTTATTCCAGCAGGGTTTATTCCTGACAGGGAGCTGAGCCTGGATTTGCTGCTGGATTTTTCATCTCCTGGTTGTCTTTTGGGGTGAAATAAGTATCCCTACCCTGGTGAAACCCCGTCCTCCTCTCACTGGTTTAAGGAGTTAGACCTGACACCTCCAGTAGCTTTTAAATGTCTGACCTGGCTCTGGGGTCCCTAAATCAGAGTCCTCGTGGTGCTGGGAGGGGGAGATGGAAATCTGTGGGCTCCCAGAGCTCAGCACAGCTCAGCCACCCACAGGGTTGAGCTGCTTGGGCTCCATCTGGAGCGTGTCCCCCCTGGAATCAGACCTGGGACACCCCCAAGGTGGGACAGGACAGCCCTGACCCTCCTGGGGGAGTTTTCCAAGCCCTCCCGGTGTCTCCTGCCTCCCTGAACTCCTCCCTCTCCCTCCTGTCTCCACTCTGAGTTTGTGCAAGGCTTCCCAGATGGAAAATAATCGGACTCAATGATCTTTAGGATTATTTTCCAACTTAAATGATGCCATGATTCTGTGAAAATCCTTATCCAACTATTCCCTAGAGGAGCAGGAGGCTGAAGGGCTTAGGCCCTATCTGTCTTCCCTCTCCGTGCCTGTCATTCTCCTTTCTGGCTCTTTTCTGACCTTCCTGACTCTGAGGAGCAGCAGAAAAAAAGGAGAAATCTCTGGATGGGTGTTGAGGTATCACTTAAAATCTATTTGTTTTTTCTCTCATCCTTTTTGTAAGGAACGCTGAGGTGTCGGTGGGTTTGGGGGCAGGGAACAAGGAGCACCTAGAAATGCCAACGTTCCATGGGGTTGCAGGATGAGGCTGAACGCACACACAAATTACAAGCTTTGCCATGGAAATTGCTGGAAATTATCCCGGTGGGAGAAGAGTGAGGGATTAAACACCGGGGTTCCTCAGCTCTTTCCAGCGAGCTCAGCAAGTCCCACTTCAGGTCGAGCAGGGCTGAAGGACATCCACGGTCCCCTCCAGCTGTGCAACATCTGCCCGTGCCAGCAGCTGGGAGCGGCTGGCAGGGACCGGGAGCTGTGCCAGGAGGTGCCCGTGGTGGCTTTGCCCGCCGAGACGGGCACGATGCACACAGAGCCTGCCCAGAGGAGCCCCGAGAGAGCAGCAGGGCTGGCTCCTCGCAGGGCGCTGCCGTCCCCGGCTCCCGGGGTGTTGGAATCTGAGCTATTGATGATCCTGAGATTGTAGAAAGTCTCTGTGTGTCAGCCCCGCTGCCAAAGCAGAAGCCATAATTGGTCTGTGCTGGTTTCCAGGCTGTTTATTCTGTTTATCTCTCACATGTTCTGCTGCCCTGCCCAGCTCTGTCCTGCAGGGCAGCGTGTGGGGCTCTGCCCTCAGTGGGATGTGACAAACATTAAATACCAGAAACTCCCTGGGCTGGATTTACAAGAACGTGCCAATATCTGTCACCTACGTTGGACAGTGTGTCCCCAGCCTGAACCAACAGAAAAATGCCAACACCACAGTGAGACATGGAGGGCATGAAGAAGGAGAAAAAGGACAAGGCACACCCAATTTCCTCCAGCTTGTCCCCTTTGGACCCCTCATCTAGAATCCTAAAATTTTACTTTTGCACCCGTGCCACACTTAATTATTACTTCTATCAAACACTCAGAACTGGTAATTGATCCTGTAAGATTGAAAACTCTTTTCCATGGCCAGAGATCACAGCCAGTGTCTCTGGGGGCTCTGTCCAGGGGGGTTCTGACCCCTGCCAGGGTCCCAGACCTGCCAGGGCAGCCAGAGGGAAGCCCTGGATTCCCACACCAGGGCACTCCAGCTGCTTCTGAAGCCACCTGTGTCCCCACGAGGCTCGCTGGGATGGGTTTGGTGTCACTCAGCGCTGGACTCGGGGTGACGGTCACCTTGAGTGGAGTCAGGAAAATCAGATCCGGGCAGGGAGAAGGAAGCAGCTCCTGCGGTTCCCAAAGAGCCCGGGAAAGCGGGGTCGGGATGGAGGGGTGGGAGGGAAGGAAAGGGGCAGGACCTGTCGGGTAGAAGCGAATTCCTGCCTCCCTCCATCCTCCCCGAAACTGGAACCTTCCCTGTCTGCTCTGCTGCCCGAGCCCCGGGAGGTGGCACAGCCCATGCCGGGGTCCTGATCCAGTGTCATTTGCAGGAAGTAACCTGGCAATTAGGGCATTAATTAGCCCTTGAGGATGTGACCCAGTGGTATTTAACCCTTTGCAAGCTGCTGCTGCTGCTCTGCAGGGCCGAGTCACGGCAGGGGAAGGGCCACAGGGGTTAAACCCATCGGTTTGGGTTATGGATCTCTAATTATTTTATCCCTAATTCACTGCTAGAAAGCCCAGCCTGGAGTCAGCAGCGTTCCTCACATGGGGATTAACGTGCCCAAGCGGTGCTGGTGTCCCTGCCCTGCTCCTCGGATCCCTCTTTGTCCCATCCGGGGGCTGGAGGGAGCTCCCGGCAGAGGGGGGCTGGAGGTGCCAATGCTGCCCTAAATATGGCGAGAGAGAAGATTGTTTGCCTTGCCATGGCAGTGCCTCCAGCAGAACAAGTGCCCTCTGTTCTCTGCCTAAAACTCCGATTTTAAACAAGAAAAGAAGATGCTGGCTCGATGCGAAGTGTCAGGGCACGGTCCTGGAGAGAAACGTTCTCCAGAGCATCTGAGAAACGCGAGGGGAGCGCGGGGAGGCTTTGGGAGCAGAAGTGACAGAAGCCAAGCGTGCCTTGTAAGAACAAGGGTCCCATCAGGAGCCGATGGGCTGTGACTCCCCGAACCCTGCGAGGGCTTTTCCAGGCACGGGGCTGCCCCGAGGGCGGGATGAGCTCCGCGGTGCCCTCCTGGCGATGCTTTCCCCCCGCTGAAGCAGCTGCTGCGGGAGCAGGGTGGCAGGGCTGGGCTCGGGGGAGGGCGAGCATCGCCTCCTTCTCCCCGTGCCAGGCTGGAAATACGGGCAGAGGAGGAGCTGAGCGGTGATCCCTGCAGCCAGCCTCAAAAGCAGTTGCTTCTAAGGCTTCCAAAACATTTTGGAAGTGTTTTCCTAACTCGGGGGAAGGGGAGCTCAGCGGCCTCTTCTGCTCCCTCGTCGTGCTGGTGGCTGCAGCTCCTGAGCCACCTCGCAGTGACAGCACCTCCGGAACGGGTTTCCTCTCGGGCAGGGCTGCCCGTCCCCTGCCTGGTTCTCCCCCAGCAGGTTGTGGGATGCTCTGGAGAGGGGATCCTGAGGCGGCAGGAGCCACGGCCGAGCCCCGCGGGGTGTGCGAGGCTTGCAGGGTGGGCAGAGCGGGCAGCGCCCCAGCCGGGCTGCCCTGCCCAACTCTGCCCTGCTCAAATCTGCCCTGCCCAACTCTGCTCTGCCCAAATCTGCCCTGCCCAATTCTGCCTTTCCCAGATCTGCCCTGCCCAGCTCTGCCCTGCCCAGCTCTGCTCTGCCCAAATCTGCCCTGCCCAACTCTGCCCTACCCAGCTCTGCCCTGCCCAATTCTGCCCTGCCCAGCTCTGCTCTGCCCAAATCTGCCCTGCTGAGCACTGCCCTCCCAGCTCTGCCCTGCCCAGCTCTGCCCTGCCCAATTCTGCTCTGCCCAGCTCTGCCCTGCCCAATTCTGCCCTGCCCAGTGCTTCCCTGCCCAATTCTGCCCTGCCCAGCTCTGCCCTGCCCAATTCTGCCCTGCCCAATTCTGCCCTGCCCAGCTCTGCCCTGCCCAATTCTGCCCTGCCCAGGGCTTCCCTGCCCAATTCTGCTCTGCCCAGCTCTGCCCTTCCCAGCTCTGCCCTGCCCAGCGCTGCCCTGCCAGGGCTCCCCGCTCCCCCCGCAGCCCCCGCCGAGCAGATGGTGCCGATTTTCGCAGGGGGAGCTGGAGGGAACAAAGCCCGGAGCGCTGCGAGGCTGCAGCCTGGCTCCCAAACGCAGCCCGGGGCGGGGGGTGACATCTGTGGGGACGGGGTGCCTGCGGCGTGCCCAGCACCGTGCTCAGCAGGCACTTGCGCCTGCCCTGCCTCACTCATCTCCCTCCTTTGTTGGTTTTCCCTCTTTTCCAGATAAAGCAGCCCCCGCACGGTCGGCGGGGATGCCGGTGAAGCCAGCGGGCTGCCTGCCCCTCTGTGCCCGGCGCGGCACCAGCGGCTGACCGCGAGCTGCAATGTTTCCCACCGCCGGCGATGCCCAGCCCTGCTCCTAGCCTGGCTTCCCGGGGCTGACATTCCCGGTTTTCTGCTGCTCGGAGGGCAGTGCCACCGAGCATGCCGCAGGGAGCCCCTCGGCAGCCCAAGGCCAGGGGAGCTCTCCAGTGAGTCCAGCTCCTCAAAGGCAGAGTTGCCTCTTCCCAGCCCGGCTTCGGGAGGCGCCTCGGACAGCGAATTCCCCTGCGCCCAGCGGGTGTTGAGGTCCTGGAGAGCGGGCCGGAGGAGGGGGCTGCCATGGAAGAGAATGTGTTCAGCGTGCAGCAGATCCAGCCCAACGTCATCTCGGTGAGGCTCTTCAAGCGCAAGGTGGGCGGCCTCGGCTTCCTGGTGAAGGAGCGCGTCAGCAAACCACCCGTCATCATCTCGGACCTGATCCGGGGCGGGGCTGCCGAGCAGAGTGGCCTCATCCAGGCCGGGGACATCATTTTAGCCGTCAATGGCAGGCCCCTGGTGGACATGAGCTATGAGACGGCGCTGGAGATCCTGAGGAGCATCGCCTCCGAGACCTACGTGGTGCTCATCCTGCGCGGCCCCGAGGGCTTCACCACTCACCTGGAGACCACTTTCACGGGCGACGGGACGCCCAAAACCGTCCGTGTCACCAGACCCCTGTGCCCGGCCCCGAAGGCGGTTGACTTGTCCAACCCAAGCGTTCCCAGCAAAGAGCAGCCACCGCCAGCAGCCATGGGATCGCTGTGGAGCAGGGAACCGGGGAAGGAGGTGGAGCCCATGGTCCACGTTAACGGCGTCGTTCCCGGCAACAAAGGGCCGGATGCCGGCAAGGACAAGGACAAGGACAAGGACAAGGACGGGACTGGTGGTCACTCCTGCCTCAATGGTGGCATGGAAGACAATGAGCTGCTCAAAGAAATCGAGCCCGTCCTGGACCTGCTGAAGAGCAGCAGTAAGGACAGCGGTGGAGATGCGCCCTCCAAGGTAGAGACACGCGATATAGAAGTCCAGGTGGACTGGTAGGTCACTAAATACATTTTTTACCTTTGGTGGAACGTGCTGGTTTTGGCTCCCCGAGGTGTCGGTGAGCGCCTCTCCACAGCAGGGTGGAGATGGAGAGGAAGGGATGAAAAAAAAGGGGGAAGTGGTCAGTGATGGGAAGATGAGAAATTGGGAGAAGATTGTGGAAGAAGGATGTAAGCGTGGGAAATCAGGGAGATCGGGAATAACGTCTCATGGAAAGCTGAGCTGTGTGATGTGGTGGATCACAGGCTGGGCTGGGCTAAATCTCTGCTGGTGTTCTCAGTTCCATTTGTTTAAAGTTGAAGCAAAATCCCGTGCCTCATTTTCCCCACCTGCCAAAAAACGCCCGTGGTATTCTTGTCCTTGTGGTCCTGCTTTAGACTCTCTGGTTGAAATCCACTTTAGTAGGAGAGGAGGCAGGAAGGTTGGACCAACAGGACACGGTGCTTCCCAGGAGAAATGAGCTTCCAAACCTTTTGGGAGAGGGGAGGAGAGCCCCAGCCCAGCTCCATCTGAAGTGGAGCGGGAGCAGCCTGGTGGGAAAGGGGGAGATGTTTTCTATCGACAGCTCGGGATGGCCAATCCTTGTGGAAGTGCCAGGATGGATCTGCCCCTGCTCCTAGCGAGCCAGATCACGATTTCAGGACTTGTGTGCATGGCTGGGGATGTGAACAATGATTGTCCCACGTCCTGTTGAGGAGGGGGAGGTGGGACAGCTCCCGGTTTTCCTCAGCGTTTCCCCGAGCTGCAGCACACCGCTCCGGAGCCGGGGCAGCTCCCCGGGGCCCTCCCTGATTCCAGAGCTGCCGTTTGTAGCTGGGTTTTTTCATCCCATCTCCCTCTCCTCCTGGCCGTTCATTAACACTGTTAGGTTGCCTTTCCCTGTTGCTTTTCCCCAGGTCCCCGAACACTTTTTAGCAGTGTCAAGTGCTGCAGCGGGTCGTGGCTGCCCTCGCTTATCGACTGGCTGGAACAGCCCCGAGGGTTTGCTGGAGCTGCACCTCTGTGGCTCGGCCACGGAAAGAGCTGTAATTCCAAGTTCTCTGTAATTTCAGGTTCTCTTGCTGTAGACACTTCTCAGGAAGAGGAAAACATTGTGTTAATGTTTCTTTATCAGAAACAAGAGAGGAAAGCCACAGCGGGGTCCCCTCCATGGGCTCCCAGCCAAGGCTGAGCTCCCGCTCACTCGCTCCCCAATCCCACCCACACCCTCTGTGTTTTCCACCTTCCTTGTTTTATTTTCAGTTGTTTTCATGTCGTTCCTGCTCTCCCAATTTATTCCTGTTTCCTGTGGAGGACACGGTACTCAAAGCTTGTTAGGCTGCTCACACTGAGTCAGAGGGAAAAAATATCTGCTGGGCTCGGTGCTGGTGTCTGGGTGTCCTTCCTGCCACCCCCTCCCCGGCACAGCCCCTCTCCAGGTCTTCTTCACCTGGGAATTGCTGGGATTTGGAAAATTCGGACATTTGCTGTGCAATGGGAAGTGATTTAACCCCCCGAGCTCAGGACGCTCTCCAAAAGCCTCTCTGGGCTCTGCATGAATTAATCCCATCCTGGAAGAGCCTGGTTTAAGAACTGAGACATTGAAAGGGTCAGGACTGGTTACAAAATGTGCAGGGGGGCTTCAAAATCCCCTCTGGTTTAGCTCAGGGACCTGGGGGTCACTGTCCAGCAAAGCCCCCAGAGGACACAATCCCAAACACTGGGATTGAACCTGGGCAGCCTCACCCTTCCAACCATGTCCCCCATCCCACCGGCTGCAGGATCTCCAAGGAAATTTTGCTCCAGCCATGGGGAGGGAGGAAAAACGTGATTCTACTCTGAGGAGCTCTTTTATTCAGAGATTAAACAGAAATGCTTTGATTTCACTTTGATTTCACTTAAACTAAAGGATCTTGAAGTAGCAAAGCAGAGACTTCACCAAAATCTCGGTTTTTTGTTTTCAATAGCCAAACTAAAAAAAAAAAAAAAAAAAAAAAAAAAAAAAAAAAAAAAAAAAAAAAAAAAAAAAAAAAAAAAAAAAAAAAAAAAAAAAAAAAATTGTAATCTCTATACCTTGGGGATGAAAATCCACTTTTTGGTCAAATTCTCTTGCTTGATGAAAAGCTGCAGCCTGGCCCTTGTGGAAGGATTCATTGTGAGGGAGAAGACCCATGCTGGAGCAGAGTTGAAAGATTCAGTGCAGGGAGAAGCTGCCAGGAGCTGCTGTGCAGGGCAAAGGGCATTTCCATGGGATTGGGCTGGGGATGATTCATCTCCTCGGCTCAGCTCACAGAGCCGGGGCATCCTGAAGGTCTCCTGCACTCCAAGTTTTCTTGGGTGGCAGCAGAAGTGCAGGAAGGTCAGGGAATAATGGGGAGTGGATAGCTGGGCAGAGTGTTGGTTGATGCCAAGGAAATGCCAAAAAAGCCCCAGT